CAGGCCACTTTTAAAGCAATAGAGAGCTTTAGTACTGCATAATGCTGCTACGTACGCATCCCGCATGTGACTTGCGTTGCGTGGCGTTGTTTGTCACGAATGGGCGTTTAGGACGCCGTAGTACTCGCATACGCAACGAACGTTAAGCGCGTCGCACCATCTGGTAAATCAACATAGAAGTACGTATTGTTGGAGGCCAATGTGAGCCAGTGCAAATGAGCTAGCCGGATAATGGCCTTAATTTTAGCCGCAGTAGTACGCTACTGTAGCCGTAGTCACTCAAAACGGGCGCCATTTTGTGAAAGCAAGTCTCGTGCTGTCGCGAACGTGTTCGAGAGCAGCGTGATCACCTCATACATACGCACGCACGCATCACATGCGTGCGTATAAAGCGGCCGCATACGCAACGCGATACGTGCGCGGTGCAGTATATGCTTGCACACTGCGCAAAACGTGGCGTCCTTACGCACGCGGCGCCACCACGTGGGATACGCACGCAGTACTAAAACTCTCTAATATTGCTATTTGAATCTCTACGTAAAAGCAATGACCATTTTCACAAGTTGTGGTCGACATTTGGTTGCCTATTAAGATCACGCTAATGATCGCTTACTACAAAACTGTACTCGTTGTCGTCTTTGGGAGAGTGAATCTTGGTGCATTGCGAAGACAGCTCTTCACAGGAATAAAATTGTCAGTGAAAAGCTTCGCCTGCGCAACAGACGCGTTTGTGCGCATCGCGCTGATGACTGTGCAGTAAGTGCGTTCTGGACCAAGTATTAATTGCGTTCCAGGCGATTAAATTCCCCAACGTTAGACGCCCACTGATGACTGGTCGTGGGAAGATTTCCGCTGCCCATTGATGCTCTCACGCCCCATTAAATTCGCCGCGTATCTGAGTGCTTTGCTGGCAGACGTCTTCAAAAGACGGCAAGCTTCCATGTAGAAAGAGATGAGAGAATAAAACGTTTACTTGATGTTTTTGGCGAGAAGATCAGGAAGTATAGAAAGAATAAAAAGTCACATCTTTACCGGAAAGGCAAAGCAATGAATGTGACAGCAACCAATCGGAACGTCCCGGGGAGATTAGCAAACAGATTGAAACGTGCCCCACGTTGCTCAGCACAATATATACGCACAGGCACAGATGAACGTGAAGTGGAGTACTTCACAAGAGTTGACTGTTAGGCGTGTTGGTGCTTTGACATAGAAGCATTCGTGAAGGCTCAACTAATGCATGCCCTATTCGCAAACGGATGCTGTGAAGCGAGTGCAGTAACCTTTGGCACCCAGTGCACCCAATGTAAAAACTGAAGGTGTACAATTCTCTCAGCCGCGACATAAGCGTGCGCACGCAAAAGCGTTCATTCACCTGTCCCCGCCCCCCCCCCCCCCCCCCACCCTTTCCGCGGAGCAAGTAGGCGTTGGAAATGAACGCATGAGCGCCAACTCATTCGTAATTCTGAAAATACGATAGTTTTTCCGAAATCGTCATCACCAGTGCTATGTGGTAGATATAGATTGTTGGTTAAACTACCAAAGCTGTGCTTCTTCGTGGCTCCGCCTGCCGTAGTCTCTTTCTGGATAATTTTTCTTTTGTGCGTTTTCACACATGTAAATAGGTATACATATACGCTGAATGACGGCAGTCGCCGATTTCTGCGGCTAAATCTAGCCGAGAGTATCCATATAATTGCTATCGCAATAAAACGGAGATTTGACGTTCTGCACCAAGTGATCGGTGAATGGGACCCTTGATCCAGGATCGCATTGGCGTGGGCGGCTGTGAATAGGTGCTACGTTAATGACCCTATACTTCGTAAAAGTTGCGCCATCTGCTGCCCCCCTCGCCACGGCCTCTGCAGTACGTTGCTTTTTCAGCAGCGAAGCTCCTTATGGCGTGGCTTGTGCGTCCCTCGTAGGACGTAACCACCAGTGGCACATACCCGAAATAGCGGTCTTTACGATTTTGGCTCCAAGGTGGTTCCAGTGAGAGATTTCTTCTGTGCGTTGTTGAACAATAAAAGATAGTGCTCAATGCGCATGTTAATGGCTGCTAAGGGGGAAGGAGAGACAGGAGCATTCGGCCTTTAGGTAACGCGCACGCTGCGATCTCCATTAGCAGCTATTGGCATGTACATTGAGCAAGACCTGACAAGAAAGGGTTGCTACGTTATACTCGCTGGGTGTAACTTCCTTGGTTTTAGAAAGGTTTAGCGAGCGTTGGGCCACATAGCCGTGAATACAGTGAACTAGTACATACCATGAGCTCCAGGTGGTTAAAGGTGGAAAGCAAACCCGAAGCGCAAGCCGTAAGAAAGTGTGCACGTGCCACCTCCCGTTTAGTCCTTGAAATGTCCGCTGGATGGAGGTGCTTCTATATGGAGATTATATGATGAAAAGATGCGAGATGGCGGCACTTCGAGTGCTGAATAGATGGACGAACGGACACACAGACAGATGCATGGATGGACGCATGAATGGACGCAGGCGTGGATGCATGGACGAACGCAGGGACGGACACACGAACAGACGCACGCACGGACGGGTGGATGGACGCATGGACGGTTACACAGACGTACGCAGGAACGGACGGAAGCAAGAACGAATGGACGGACGAATGCTTCGCCCCACTCCCCATCATTCACTCCGTGGATATGCTGCTATTTTTTTCTTCGCTTGTGACTGTGGTCCCCCCTGGAACACGCCACGAGCTTGCTCCGGCGGGAAGGGGAGGAAGCGGCGCAGAATAAAGGACACTGTACGTTTCTTTTGTAATTTACCGCGATCTGCCCTCTCCTCTTAACCTCCTTTCCGGCACTTTGCTTTATTTCTTTCGCTTGCGACAGTGCCACCTTCCCCTGTAACGCGCCACGAGCTCACTCTGGCGGGGAGAGGAGGAAGTGGCGCAGATAAGAAGAACGCTGTACTTTTCCTTTGTAAATGTATCGCAATCTGCTCTTCCCTTGCAACCTCCTCTCCGGCGCTTTGCTTTTTTTCTTTCGCTTGCGACAGTGGCGCCCCCTGTAACGCGCCACGAGCTTGCTCTAGCGGGGAGAGGGGGAAGCGGCGCAGATAAATCAACGCCGTAATTTTCTTTTGAAAAGGTACTGCGATTTGCTCTCCCCCTCACCACCTCCTCTCAGGTGCGTTGCTGTCTTTCTTTCGCCTGCGACAGTGCCATCTCCCTGCTGTAACGCGCCCCGAGCTTGCTCCAGCAAGGAGAGGAGGAAGTGGCGCAGATAAAAATAACGTTGTACCTTTCCTTTGTAAAGGTACCGCGATCTGCTCTCCCACTCACCGCCTCCTCTACGCCGCGTTGCTTTTTTTTTTCTTTCGCTTGCGACAGTGTTGCCCCCTGTAACGCTCCACGAGCTTGCTCCAGCGGGGAGACGAGGAAGCGCCGCAGATAAAAAGAACGCCGCACTTTTCCGAAGGTACAAAAATCTTATGGTACATGAGATATCGACGCCATCTGGTGGTAATTCGATGAAACTAAACTTGTTTTCTGCAACGCTCAGCCACAGGTGGGTCGTAGCACTGTGTCACTTTAGTGTTGCGCAATAAACACCCGCTTGTCGTTCGTAGCGTCGTGTTGTCAGCGCAGCGTATTAAGCACTGTGGCGTTTAGAACTACGTATCAATGCATTTCAGAAATCAAGAAACAGACTGCTTATTACTTGCTTACTGATGTTTACCTCAAATATGTCAAATACTTGCTTTTTCTTTGACAATGTTCGAAAGTATGAACGCAGCAAACAGATCAAGATGGCTGGGCATTGAGAATGCGCTTAAACTTTCACCGGGTCGCTTAATCATGGGACAAGCACACCAACAGAAAAACAGACAGATCAAAACATCTGCTTGCAAGTGTGCCAACATATACATTTTAAAATTCAATCATTATTGCATAATACTCATTTCTCCGTGCGGTATGGAACCACTGGCAGGTAAGGAGTATAATTGTATTTGTACTACAACAAAACTATCATTTTGCGCATCGTTTCATCTGCTGTTGCATTTATAAGAATATCAGGGCTTGACAATTTTTTTATCAAGCTATACATAACCTTTTTCTGTTGCACTATTTCAAAAATTTCTTCACAGCCCTTGAATATTTGTGCGAAAACGTGCATGTAAGATGTAAATGTGAAATCGAAACTAAAATTGAACGCAGAAAAATACTCGGCGTAGTCACACATGTGCAGAAACTCCAGGTGGTCGAAATTCCCAGAGCCCTCCACTACGGCGTCTCTCATAATCTTATGGTGGTTTTGCGACGTTAAACACCATATATCAATCAATCAATGTGAAGAAACTCTGCCCACGTTGCTTTGCCTGTACCCTCTCCAAACGTTGTCGCAAATTGTACGCGATATTAGAAATCATTTCTTTGTGGTGTTGTATTTGACAATGCACTTTTTACTGGTGCCAGTATGCCCTATGGCATAAGGTAAATAAAAAGAAAAATCTGCGTTTTCTGCATGAAGGCCAGGAGTGGCTGATGTGTAGTACCGTGCGTCTAGCGCGTTAAGGCTCTTCCCTCGAAGGTCAGCCGGCATCGCAGTGGAGGACTCGTAGGGGGCGATTACGATCCTGGTGAAGGCCAGGACATGTCCACAATAGTTATTTGATATTTGCTTCCGTAGCTAGGGCAACGAAAAATCACGGTTAGCTTACACTAAATATGCCATTTTATTTATTGTCACAACTGCTGCAAGCAAACTGTACACTGGCATGATATTTCAACTGGTTTCAGTGTGCTACTATGTTCTTTTTTTCTTTTTTGGGGACCGTTCAGAATTGTTTTTTTTTTTTGCTGCTGAACCTATTGATATGGACTAGCGGAGGCATTATGGACCGACACCTTTCCACGGCAAAATAGTTGGAACAGAACAGAACAGAAACGTCCAAAAAATGTCGTTTATGCGCCATAAAACGGAATTGTGTTAGGACTGTCAATGATGAATGTTTAATAAAAAACCAAGAAGACAACTGCCTGGGTGGCGACAATTACTAATACCTGTTTATTAGGTTTCTGTCAACAATTGCTGTGCAAATTGTTATGTTATTAACCACAGTGACAGCAATCCGAAAGACTATTCACGCTTTGTGGAAGTCAGTTGATCCTTCGCAGGTGAATGAGGTAAGTTCGCGCACCTTCGTCCAAGGAACATCAGTGATCGCGGCAGTGCAGACGTCCTTGTTTATCTGAAAATGAGGAGGATGACGTAAGGAACTTCGTCAACGCAGGGAAAAAATGGTGGGGATGTCAGTTGCATTGCAAACAGACCGCTGTGAAATGAGCGACCATCATCTCCCTGAGTATGACTGGGCATTTCCTTTTGTCAGTGCGAGGAAAGAGATTTATGGTAATTATTGGTAATTGTCAGCGCACATGATGGTTGATATGAGTCGCCAGCGAAGAGACCACTCTGTGATGTTAGGGGTCTCCCGGAAATGATATGTGACCTTAAGTGGGAGCCTCCGAATGCTGTGCCGCTGTCATTTCAGAGCACGCTTGTATGACAGTCAGTAGCCAAGCTACGGCGCAACGTATGATTACGTAGCACTTGAAAAAAACTAATCTGTTCTCTGCTGTAGTGATTCTCTTGTATAAAAGTTGCTGGTGAAGTACTGAAGCAATGTCGTTGCTTCTGTGAATCAATTTACCCTATAGGCATTAGAGCGCGTTAGACTGTATTATCTACGAATGTTAGAGCAACAGACGCAAAAATTGAGCTACGAAGGCCCTGAAAAACACTGCCCGATTGTAACAGTCACGTGTGATTTGAGCGAGCAATCATTATCACAGTGAATTGAATTCATTATTTAAGTGCAGTGTCAAACTTTTGATGTGGTTCAGATAATTTACCAAGAAGTAGAGTGTCAAACAAAAAATAAAATGAAGAATCCTTTTCTTCATGTTCGGAATCTCGTTGACTGCTCCTTATCTCAGGCACCTATAACTTCTATGTTTGTCAGAAAATCTTTTCTTTCGAACCGAGGCATTGAGGAACACGAAGAGTCGTAAAACTAGGATGAAGACAAACTTTTGCACATTATACAGCCCATCTAGGCATATTTTTGTCGTATACACAGCTCAAACACGTCCATCCATGTGCGATAGAGGAAATTGATGGTCTGCTGACCGAAATAAATGATTAACCTTGCCTTTACTCGGTATATATCATAGTATTCTTTATGTGAAATTGGGGTGATGTTAATAATGTTTGAATGAAGTGTATTTCTGAGCCCTTATTAGTTTGGATGATTTTGTGTTGAAACGGATGGGTTGAATGCAGACTACTGACAGCATCGCAGCCTAAAATTCAGTAAAGAAGTGTTTACACCTTATTTCTTTCTTCTCAATATGCTTGTGAGAATGCTCATGATGTGAAATTTGGAAAAAGCCTGCGTGTTCAATGACTGTGCAGAAAACATTTACTTGGTACTTGTATTCAGTAACAAACGATAAGTCATGACAGCTGATGCTGTATACAAATGGTAATAAATTCTTACTGCATACTGTCATCATTGAAACTGTTCTTTTAGGTTCAGGTTCGCCTGCCATTGTAAGCACCACGTAGCTATTAATGGTACACTTCGTTTGTGCTTCGCGACAAGTTTTACATCATAAAGTGGCACGATATACCCGGGATGCCCAGTGTTACAGTTGGCCAATTTGCAATCTGACAACGTTAGATTGACAACCGAACATAAGCGCGTAAGTACAGCCCTGTTCTTTACAAGACATATAAGCACAGCTCGTGTATCCTTGTCTGCTGCAGTTGATCATGATGGGTTTGCCCAAAACAATTAGCCTCGTATCTGTTGCCAAACTTGGTGATCAATGTAGTTGATGTGGCTGTATTAACACGAACGTAGAAACCACTGACTACGCAGAGGGGTAATCGCCATGAGTGATTTATTGTGTGCCGGGAACCCGCCTAGTGTAACTAGAACATTCACTGGGCTAACAGTTGAAGCGCCTCAGACTGGCTGGCCGACGGTAGAGGGCCTATCCCGAGCCCACCGGGTGTGGTTGTTGCCTCATCAGCAAAAAAAAAAAAAACTATAACTCTCTTAGATATAGCTCTGCTTCAATCCACTTAGGCCCCAAATCTAAAAAGAGAAAAAAAAAAGAAAAAAGAAAGTTGCTGGCGTCTAAATTGTGCTTTTGCTGATGGTGTTCTAGACCACCAGTTCTAATTTAGTCCACACTGGTGAGCAATAAACGACTGAGTAATAAGGGTTCATTAAAGGTCGAGCGAAAGATAGCCAACAGCTTGCGCTGGCAAACAAATGCCCTCATCGCCAAGAAACTGCAACTGCCCGCTCACACACGATTGCATGCGCGAGTGGTGGTAGCTGCGACAGGACAAACAAACCGTGAGGGAAAAAAATAGACTTGACTAATATAGTCCAGAAAAAAAACTAATTGTATCTTGAAAGCATGCCAGCACTTGTTTGCCCTGCTTCAAAGGTTCAAAATATCCTTACCTTTTTCGCAGAGAAAGAATACCGGGAAATTACGACACCTACCATTCGCAACATGTTTGCGCCGTCGCATAACATCCTATTGGACCCCGAGCATATCAACACCTTTAAACACGCCTCACATGCTCGTTTCCTTTTTATACCTCTCCATTTGAGAAAACATTCACTTCGCTTGAACGAAAGCAACACCGACAGCAGCTGTGACCATACGAATACTTTGCATAGAAACGTGGAGCTTCGCAGGCTCCACTGTGTTTCCAGATCAGGTACGGCACTGCCCACTAGGCAATTTGGCGGCACCCACGTTAAAAAAGGTATATAGTACGACGCTTATTCCAGTCTATAAAACAGAAATAAAAACAATAAACACCAAAGGATATTCTTGTTGAAATAATACTATTATTCACAGATTACAATAACAACCACCGTTGTAAGCACCGATAACAACAATTTGTGCAAGAAGAGTTAGCTATATATTTACGAGAACCTGCACACTCACTGCTGTACATTACGTACGTTCACTAAAGAAAATCACCTCCAGGGCTAATTAAGAGCCTAATCTTGGGTAACACACATTGTACAAGCTAGCAGTTGTTGAACTTGGAGAAATAATCAATTTTTTCCACTTGGTATGAATCTTTTGTAGATATTTATAGACATTTTCTAAGTGTTAAGCTTTCGCCTTCGCACATTGTTTTGCAGGCGTACTTCTAAGAAACAATAGATATTTGGGGATCTTTCACAGCGGAAGTCAGGTATTGAGGTCATACTGCATCTGTCACTTTCAAAGTCAATGCAAATGGCAGCTCCCTTTTCGGTCGTGATGCTATAAATGCATTGGCTATAACTATTCCCGGTGCTTCTGTCACTTGTGCTGAAGTCGACGGGCAAGCTCATCTTTCGGACAACGCGCCCAGTGAGTTACAGCAACTGTTTAACAGTGAGCTGGGTTGTGTGCGTTGATTCTTGCATAAAGTAGAGCGTCAACCTGAAGTGTGTTTGGTTCGTGCCAAGCTTCGATCCTTGCTCTTCTGCTTGGTGAGCAAGTTTCCGCAGAACGGTCTCGTTTTCAAGCCGGTAGAATCAGTGTGCCTGTCTCCGCTTACAACTGGGGTGTGTCCACTCGTCATTGTGGAGAAAAAAGGATGGTTCACTGCGTCTGCGCGTCGACTTACGTGGAACAAACAAGGCAATTGTCATCGACGGGTTCCCGCTGCCACACATCGAAGAGCTGCTGCAACAGCTGTCTGGAGTGGTATGCTTTCTAAGTTGGAACTTGCGTCCACTTATCATCGAATGAAACTTGGTGAGTGCAGTACTTACTTGACGACATTTCTTTTGCGCAATGGGCTGCTTCGTTTTCGCCGCCAGTGCTTTCGGCTCGCATCTGCCTCTGCTGTGTTTAGAAAAATGATGTCTATAATATGTATTGATTGTAAAGGTGCTTTGATCTACTTGGAAGACATATTTGTGTAGGGTCGAAATAACGAAGAAGACGATGCAAACTTCCATGCAGTTCTTTCCCGCATCAGCAAATGTATAACAAGTGAATTCTTGCTTTGAGTGACTCGCAATTTTAGAATAACCAGATCAGTTCCCGCGGCTTAACTACTGTTGAGTCAAAAACTCAGGCCATTGTGAATGCACTACGTCCTACTAGTGCCAAATCGTTGCAGTAATCTCTTGCTGATGTTTGTTACTATGCAGTTTTTGTTTGTGTCTCATTACGCAGATGTAGTTGAACCACTGCGTATACTACTTTAACAGGGACCGCTTTTTACCTGGTCAGCGGAAGCTGAACAGAACTTTATTACCATCAAGCCAATATTAGCTTCGAAGCCACTTGTCAGTTTCTTCAATGAGAAGCTGCATATTGTCATCACATTGAATGCGTCGGGCGTTCAACTAGGAGCAGTGTTTCAACAACAGTCAGGTGATGTGCTGATCACTATTGCATTTGCTTTTCGCACATAGTCCCCTGCCGAGCACAGGTATTTCACGGGAGAGTGTGAAGCTCTCGCATGTCTTTTTGCTTGTGACAAATAGCATGTTTATTTGTAGGGTCACCATTTCACCATGCGCACACATCATCAAGCTCTTGTCGCACTTCTTTCTTCAGGCACCGAAAGCCGCTGTCCCCTTCGCAATTCAAGGTGGGGTTCTAAACTCATGTACTACAACTTCAGTGTGCGGTATTGTAGCTGTGCCGTTGATCTAATTCTTGATGCTATGTCGCGTCTCCCTTTCCACCTACCGGTTACTGAACGGTATTAGGAAGAAACCGTTTCCTTGCTTACTTCTTGCAATAAGAATGCTGAAGTTCAGGCTACCACTGCTACTGATTCGATTGCCTGAAGTTTATACATATATACATAAATGATGGCGTTCCCACAGTGCACTTGTAGCTGAGTTTTTGCCTATTTTCAGTGTCAGATAGAACATGTCTTGTGTCGAGCACACTCTTTTTCGTGATAAGTGGGTGATTCCCACGGCTTATTTTCAGCAAAAACTCAGTCAGGTCGACCACAAATCGCGGCCAAGCATTGTTCGCACTAAACAGAACCTTCGTAAGAGGTACTGGTGGCCCGCCTTGGACAAGCACGTAAAACAGGCATTTTACAACTGCCACAGTTGTCAGGCGGCTGACAAGTCGGCCGAACCTTGATTTTCTTCCTTGCAACCTGTTTTGTGGCCTGATGAGCCTTGGCAAATGCTTGATATGAACAGAATTGGTCGTTTGCTCAAAGTTTCACAAAATCGCGCGTCGTCATTTCTCTAATTGAATATCACTCCAAGTGGTCTGAAATCTGTCGCACGCATTATGTAGCTTCTAAAGGTTATATTGAGTTTCTGTCTTCTATTTTCACCAGAGAAGGTTTCTCTGATGCAATAGTTAGAGTCAATAATCCTCAGCTTCCGTCTCTTCCGTTCGGGACTTTTCTTTCGCAACGCCGCATTCAGCAGTTGATTTCACCTGCTTTGTACTCAAAATAGAATGGATCACTAGAGCTATGCAATTGTGTTCTGATGGAACACAATTGGATCGCAAAATTGGTACAGCGTCTCCTCAAGAGTGCTGGTTGAATGCTGAGCTTCATACAGTTTTTGCCCGCAGGACACCACAGGAATGTCTTCTGCCCAACTTCTTCATAGTAGGCAACCTGTAGTTGCTCACGACATACTTTTAACTGATCGCCACCCTCCAGTTCCCGCAAGTCTGCAGTTTCACACCAGAGTCTATTGCCGTCAACAAGCAATATTCCAGTATGTGGGCAATTGTCGCGGTGCTAAGCCCCGGAAGTTCAAGTCGGTGACAGAGTGAACGTATGTGCCCAAGAGAACGTCTTAAGTATCGTGGCAAGTACCAAGTCTTGGAACAGGTTAGCCCAATTACTTTCGGTTGAATTATGGCAGCATAAAGAACTACTCTCGCATTGTGATTTCTCATACAGGTGCAGCTTCAACTCTTCAAATGTCTGCTTATTGCCCTTCTACCCTTTCACAGTACTCGTTATAATAATGCATGTGCCTTTATCTTCAGACATTTCGTTCTCAAGGGGGGGAGGACATTCCAAGGGTAGTTCTAGGTAAAAGAGTTCACATTAAATCCTAACTGTCATCATCAGATTAAAAAGAAATTGCCAGAAATTCTTGCAAAAGCTGCTACTTCACGTAATGAGGCCGTGACAGCAAGTGCACAGTCCGGACCAACGCCTTCTCCGCCTCTTGACCGTGCAGTGGAATCGCCAAGCCGGTCGCAAAAGCACCGCGCTCGTAGGGAGTGGAGTAGACTTCCTCGCTTCGCAGACTATGTCTTAGACCGATGTGGAGATTATTTTTCTCTTGTACTTCTATAAAGTGTACTAAGTGTTCTTTTACCATGTGCTTGTTATTCTATGTGCTTTTCATCCTTCTCACTCCTGCGCTGAGCATGCTGTCCGACTGTATTTTTAATGCGGGTTTTTTTAAGGGGGATGATGTTATGTCGTGCGGTTTCATTTAGTTTAGTTTTCAGTTTCAGCTTCTGTTTCAACATCATGTGGCGCCTCGCGCGGCAGTGTTCTCTACTATATGTATATATGTGTAAATAAATGAGTTTGTGACGCGCTGTTGTGCGAGACAGACATGCTTTTTTCTTTAGCCCAAGTAACGCGTGGCTGCCGCCGTCAGCGTGTGTATGCTGCGACCCTTCGTTCTTCCTTTTCGTCGGAATCGCGGCTAGCCAACCCCGACACAACAAGCTCTGCACCACCTAGGTTTATCTTCACCTATCCTAGCAGCGCATGCACATAAGAGTAGCCATCGCAGAGCCACACAGACAGAGACAGACTAAGCAGCCGCCACGCCGTAGGACCGGTGTAGCTCGAGGCTATTATGAATGCCGAAATATCCGCAATTCTACCTAAGAGTGTCACATGCCATGTATGCACGTTTTTTTGTTTTCTTTAGTACTGAATTTTTCTTCGCGTGTACCGGCTGTCGTACCTCTCTATACTTTTCCACGCCAGGGAAAGATCTAGAAGTTCACGTTCATATGGTAAAATTAACCAGTTCGCTGTTTGTTATGCTTTACATAGATAGCAGAATATCTTTTCTCAACATAATGACAAAAATTACATTTAGTCCAGACTTTTCATAAGCCTGTCACATTTACAGCTTGCCAACAGCAACTAGTAAAGGTAGTAATTTTTTCATTGAAGATATGACCATTTCGGTAAGAGTTTATGACCTTCATACTGTAAAAGTACATTGAAAATTAGTAAGGAGCAGTCACATTATCTCATATCACTTGCGCTTGTTGGCATATTTAAAGGAGCTGAATAACAACAGCATAGAGAATAAATAAAGGTAAACAAATCTGTTGATAACGATCGTAATCGAGAACAGCAGCACTATAGCGAAGGTATTCAATAAAAAGTGCTTGGTATAGCTGCAGAAGAGATGATTTCGAAGGTCCCCATGATTTTCAAGACGCATGACTTGGACAGAGCTGTCTAGTTTTTTTTTTCTTAACGATGATATGTGCTTTTTTTCTCCACCTTCTCAATAAAATAATTTGTCCATGTACTCTTATATTGTAGAACTAGTCACGACTCTCGTTGGAAGCAAAGTTATTTAAATGGGCATTTTGAAGTTCTGCTACTCTTTTATATGCTGTGATGGTGATACTTAAACAAGAAATCTCACTGGCAACTTAACACTGTTTACTTTCTATTTTTTTCCAGTGCGCCAGCGCTGTGTTTGCCTAGGTAATGCGTGACCAGCTAAGCCTTGTTTTGCTTCTGCAGAAACTATGATCAACTGTGTGATGTCAACAGCGTGCCGTACTTCTCAGGGACAACAAAATCTCTTCCTATCTGAATCCTTACTTTTTGAAACGAAACTAATGGTCTGTAGAAGCGGTTCGTGGAAGTGTTTGTGAATCCTGATGCTTTGTACGCGTCTTAGATGTACCTGTCTACATATCGTCGTCATTTTTGAAATGATCTGAAAAGTCTTCAAGATACAATATTTATTTGTACTTCAACTTGTTCTGTGAAGCTGTGAGAGCTGATACATTTGTAAGTGTCATTTTTGTTGGAAATTACTCCAGTTAGTAAAATTATTAAGACAATCAGACAGCCATTGCTATTTAAAAAAATAGTGGCTTAAAGTTCTTGTACAAATATGTGTCTGGCAAAGCATGCAATAAGTATGTTATTCTCACAACCTTTGCAGTCTGAAGATTTGCCCGAATATTTCGCATATACCCGGTAATGACAGCTTTTTTGACGCATGCAGGCACATTTTCATGCCGTGCGTATGCGCGTCGCAGTTCAAGCATTGGGAAAACATTTCTGGATAACAAAAAAACTAATTATCCCCTTCATGATATTCAGCATTCATTTGTCATGACAGCACAATGGAAGCTACGTAACCTAATTGCATGTGTGCTATTACAACGCTAAGAGAGGGTACTTAGTTTTACTAACATGTTTCTCAGTTTTCCTTGCTGAAATCCATCCTCCTTTATTTATTATGCACTCGAACGCGTTGCGGGAAGTTGTAGTTAGAATATGGTTATTGTTAAGCTCACAAGACTGTCTTCCTTTTCTTTTCATTTCGTGGGCAGCCCCATCTTCTCGCCGCGCCCGTTTTTCAATGTAAACATGGCGCACATGTTGTAGTAGTGCAGTGGCCGGCCGCAGGGTGATCTTTAATTCTCTAAGAATATTATACTCGTAATATGATACTAGAACGTACACTGAACCGTAGAGCTGAATTTTCCGTTCTCGTGCTTGTGTATGTCAGATTCTCGACGCGTTAACATTGCGAGTGAGCTAGACCAAAACCAGCCGCCGGCTGCCGTACTACTTGCGGGGCAACACGATTGTACGGAAGCTCCGCCTCCATAGCCTTCGCTACAAAATCAAGAGAAGTTGTCTCAGGGTGTCACTTGCAAAAGAGGTGACAGCAGTTAAGTGCTTTTGATAGTTATAAATATATCGATTTGTGGTGCTTTAAGTGATTTTGACTTTGTGAGATGTATAATTGCAATTGGAATGAAACCATAATCCTTGAAAATATAAAAAAAGAAGACAGCAGCTTCTTTCTATGAGCAATCTGCACGAAAACTTTGTGATCTCGCTGTCAACGTGAATATGCTCCCTCTCTTGGAAGCATTTTTGTTGGCTGCTGGAAATGCTTGTTGTAGGCTTCAGACACGCTTTATTGATAACGTGAATGCGCTGCCAGTTACTTTCCTCGCAGGATATCATCGCCTACAAAGCGCTTACCTGTGGGGACTTTGGCGGACATGTAGCCTTGTCGTAAGCACCCGTAATGGGGCAAGTCGATTCCGTAGTCTTGAACTTGATTCTGTAATTTGTGCCAGCTACAGTCTGTAAGATCAAGATCAGCAAGGCAAGTGAAAATGCCGTAATTAGGGCGTACTTTTTGTCAGTCTGAGATGAAATATTTTTTCCTTATTCACACGAATACTACAGTGCTAATCTCATCAATCAGAAGAAACACCTCATGCGACAATTGTTTAAAAACGAAAAAATAACACCATGGTCAAGGTGTATATACTAACAAGAGAAGTGAACGAAAGTACTGGTAACTTTCAACTCTTCTAAAAGACTGACAGCCCTGCACATAATCTTGAACAATTGCACACACCAGCTCAAAACGCAATGCTTGAGGTGATAAGTGATCTCTTACGACACAGCTGACAAAAAAATTGCAGATCCCACGTACAGTGGGAATGTCACGAGGTCGTGACGTGGCTGAAGACAGGAGACTCTGTGTTGAATTTTAACTGTTTATTTGGGCGAACCTGTGCCCGGTTAACGGAAAGTCTGATTACAGCAGCAGTCTTGGACTAATACAAAGAGAAGTTTATTAACTTCAAACTAGAAAAAAACTCTTAACATCATTTTATACCTAGAGTGCTCGTTTAGACACCCCTCTTGTGCACTTTGGTGCATACGAAACTCCATTATTCATAAAGGAAACAAGCGGCACTACACAGAATATATATATATATATATATATATATATATATATGTACTTATATATATATATATATATATATCTATATATAATATATATATATAGACAAGTTTGTGCTAAACTACGCATACATACGTAAAAACCACATATATATTTACAATCCCATATACAAGTATTTACAACAGATCGTGAACATGGGTAGGCATATTTAGCGGCGAACGGAGCGTCGGCCGTCGATCAACTACTGACAAGCGGCGAAGTGCGTCAGCATTTATACTCTTGCCATCGAATGTTCTAGCGTTATCGCTGGCGGTGGCGTAGATTCCAGAATAGTCTGTACAGATCGCAGAGTGGGCGTGATCTTATGGAAATGATCTACTAAAGTCCGGAAGCTTCTCGAAAACTGCACGCGCGTTTTGCGCTGAGAATTGTGTAGTGTTTTGGGGCGATAACAAAACTTGACTAAATGGAACGTGGCAATATGCGAAGCACGAATGAAGAAGCATGATATGTCACTTTAAATCAGCTCAACATTACGAGGTGTACATAAACTATTCCGTACATACTTCTATGCCACGATTATCATGTTTGCGCCTAGCATTTTCGTTCGTCTTTCATTCATGTCACGTCATACCAAGTTTGGTATATGTTAAGCAGGCAAAACGGCTGCGAGCGGGCTATGAGCTCAGCATTTATTCATGTTTTACATGTCACGCATACCATGGTATCATGTTTGGACAGTCACATTTACCTTGTCCCCCATTCGCGCTACGTACTGCCATCTCGTATATGTGAAGCTATTGGAGCGACCACCAGTGCA